TTTACTCTTTTGTCATTTCACTCTCTCATTGTCATTTTCATCTTCTTTCCCGCAGTGAAACTTTGAAACTGTATCAAGCAAATATAATTGCAAAAGGTTATACCTTTACCTTTTTACATGCATAATACAAAGAGAATCACGAATAAGGTAAAGGAGAGAAAACAATTTACTAATGAGAATATAATAAGTTTACCAACGAAGAAGAAGAAGAAGAAAGATGCCTTTTCCCTCATCTTCATCTTCCATCTTCTTTACCTTTTCTGATTCTTTATCTCTTTACCATTGGAACAGAGTTGTTGTTTTATTAAAAGCTGAAAACCACACAGTCAAAGGTAACACAGAAAAAAAAGAAACAAGAACAGGTAAAAAGGTAAAGAAGAAACAAAACAAATGCTAAACGAGTTGTGAGCTTTGGCTTTTTGTTTCTTTTCACTGTAACTTTTTAGCAACTTTTGTTACCTCTTTTCATCCCAGCGAAACTAGAGAAAAATGAACAACAGAAAAACTCTTTTTTCTTCATTACCTCCTCAACCTCCCTGCTAACCACCACTCCCACCATTGTTTTTCAGGTTTACTTTGTTTTTTTACGGCAACTTTTCATTTTTGGAACCTCTTTTTGTCCATTTTTATAAATAAACTTTTGGCCCTTCTTGTCTTCCCTTTGACAAATAACCTGAAAAACCTACGCTCTGGTTGTGACTATTTTAAGTTGTGTGAGTGAGTGTTTACTGTAAAGACTGTCATTTGATTAAATTTGACTTTTCCGCAAATTTTCTTGTTCTTTTACTGCTTTTTCCAGGCTTACAGAGTTTCAACAATTATCTGATTAATGAGCAACTTTTTTTTGCTGTTTTGTTCATTGTTAATCAACACAAAAGATAATGATAATAATTTGTATTAAGCGCATCAATCACATTTCCAGTGAAAAAACAGACTTGAGTTTCAATAACAATAAATGTTGAGTTTGCCGTTTGATTCATCATCATGATCATCCATTAGGAGTAAACGTTTTTGTTTCTGCATCATTTGATCAACTATTAAATTGTGAATTGAATGTGTTTTGAGTATCAATTGCAATTATTATTCTTATTATCGAATAAAAAAAATACGAAAAAGAAGGAAAAACAAAAACAAGATTTTAGGCAAAAACACACACACACACACCTCAAGTTCTGAAACAGAAGAAATTCTGATTCCCTGAGAAATCTGTAGTCACGTGACTGGAATACAAGTAAACCCAAACACACACACAGTTTATCAACACGTTATTCTGATAATGAAAGAAAATCTGTAAAATGTTTGGATGAAACAATTGAATGGAATCAATTATTTTCAAAATTATCATTTTAAACAGTTACAGCAAAAGCAAGAAAAATCATTTTCTCAATGAACGTTTATCCAAATAAGATAAACGTTGTGATGAAAAAAAAAAGAGATGCAAGATGAAGATGAGTAAAGAAGAAGAAAAAGAAAACACAAACAAAGTCTAAAATACCCTGAGGATGAATCCTATAAAAAGCATGATGAATGGTCAATTAGTTTGATGAAAAATTTGCTTCTCACCTAACCTGACACAAAGTTTCACTCCCCTTAAGAAACCTACCTGTCTTCCTCATCTTCTTATCTTCTCTGTACCTCATCTTTCACTCTCACTTAACCTGCTTCCAGGAGCCTTTAAAAAAAGCCTCATCAGTCCCAAGTTTACTTTCATCTTTACTCTTCTCCTAATTTTCATTATTTCATCTTAATCTTTTCTCCATCATTTCTCCATCCTTTTTTTCCTTGAAAACAATAAACTTACCAATTTTACTGATTACCTGAGAAAAGTAGGGAAAAAAAGTTTTAATGATAATTCAAGAGCAAAAAGAGCGCAACGAAATTCCAAAGGGCGTTAAATGATTACATTAATTCAAGTAGATGATAACTTTTCTTCAGTTAATCATGGAAACCCATGGAAACGGTGAAATTCATTGATGAATGAAAAGGTAAAGAAGAGGATGAAAAATGGTTTATAATGAGAGTTAGTAAAGCGAGTTAAAAAAAGGAAGAGAAGAAGAAGAAAATCTAAAAAGAATGAACAAAATAATTGAAAATGCTATTTTTTGCAGTAAAAATAAAGTGATATTAGTGAAGTTCAGTGATGATGATAATGATAATGATTATGATGATATAAAAAAGAACTGAAAGGAACAGGAAGAGAGAGAAAGAAAAGTCAAGAGAAAAGTGGGAGTTGAGGATGATAATGATAATGATGAAGATGAAGGAGGAGGTTGGAGTTTGATGATGATTATCATTGGCAAAAAGAAAGAGACAGTAACTGGATAAGGTGTGGCTTTGGGTATTAAATTAATTGAATCAAAGTGTAAATAAGAGCCTCCTACTGTTTCTTCATCAACTCCTCTTTTTACCTCTTTACCTCCTCTCATCATCATCATTTACTAATTGATATAACACAATATTGAAACAACTAAAGTTAACCTTTGATGACAATTTCAATATTTGTCTTTAGTCAATAACTTTTGTCATTCAATTTTTTGAAAAGTTAATTTGTTTCAATTATTTTCTTCTTTTTGTTTTTCTTCTTCTTCTTCTAACTGAGTTTCTTGCTGATTATCATGATATTCAAATTGATGGGTAACCCTGATGGGTGACCTCATCTTTCATCATCAAAAGATGAATATTTTTCTTTTCTTTTTTCTCTCTCTTCTTTACTTATTCGTGACTCTGAAGGGCAGGGTAACTCATCTTCACCATCATCATCAACATTATAATTATACCTGTTGTAATGAGTAAAGAAATGCTTTTCTGTAATTAAATTTCAATCAGAATTGGAAAAACATTTTTGGAAACCTTCATTTCTCTCTAATGAAAACCTACGATTTTAATGAGTTTGATCAAGAATCAAAATTAAGATCAACTTTTCCCAACATTTCATGGTAATCATGAGAAGGTGGATTAGTTAATCGACATTTCCCTCTGTTTATTAAATCTGTGTCAATCATTGATTTTTTTTCTCTGTTGTATCATGAATAGGTAAATACAAAGTTGTTTTTTCTTTGTCAGATTAAACGATGAAAGGTGAACTTATTCAAAGGTTAGAAAATGTTTGAGTAAAGAAAACTTTTGATCATCATTTTGATTACCTCGTTCATTTGAGTTGTAAAAGCAAATTAATGGTGATTGGTTCATTTGGAATACGCATAATCAGTTGAATTTAATCAGAAGAAGCAGAACCTTGGAAATGATGGCGAAAGCTCAGAGTAATTCAGCTTCAAGATGAGATGCAAATTACAAGCTTAAAAACAGAGTCTAAATAAATTACAATTTTTTCATTTTCTACCCAAAAATATGAACTTATTGTTTGATGGAAAAAACAAAATTTTTAAAAACTGAAAGAAACCCAAATTGATGGTAAATTGAACAGAATCACATTTGATGACTGATAATGAAAGATTATCCAAATTGGAGAGAAAGAAAAGAGGAAAAGAAATGTCCAACAAAACCATTAAAATCAATAATAACCTTTACCTATTGAAGAGATTTTTGCATTTCTCATGCAACGTGAAAAGGTAAAAATGGGTAGAAGAATAAAAATAATGACAATAAAATAAACTAATACTTACCTGTACCTTTTGTCTGGAAAGGTAAAAAAGATTGAAAATTGAAGATGGCAAAGATGATGATGAAGAGAAAAGAGAAGCAGAAAAAATAAAATAATGTAAAGTAAATCAAGTTGATTAAGAAAAGCCCAAAAGTGAGAAAAGAAAGAGACATCTGTCAAGATATTTGCTGTGAATTTAAGGTAACCTTTGTCTTGATCCTTACCTTTTATTTGTGTCTAGAGAGAGAAGAGAAACAAGGAATGATGAGAAGGAGCAGTGAGATGACATGAGGCAGGTCATTGGCAAGCATATTTGTTACCAAAATTTAAGTTTCCTTGAAAAAAAAGGCTAATGTATATTGGTAAGAAGTTCAATTGAATATTTGTTGTTTAAGAATAAGATGATGATGAAGATGAAGATTGTTAAGCTTAGAGAGAGCCGAGGGTTAACCTCATAAATGGGAATCTCTTTGCTCTCCACTAATCTGCATCTCAATTTTTCTTAACATTTCTTTCTCTCTCTCTTTTCTCATCTTCTCATCTTCTTCTCTTCCCTCTCTTGGACAGACTTGTTTTTCATCTCACTCCAATCAACTCTCCTTCCTCTCTCTCTTTCGACTCTCTCTTTTGTCTCCCGAGGAAAAGTTGCTCCTCAGTTTCAACTTGAACGTCAAACAAGTCACTAAACCTCAACTCACTTGAAGAGTAAAAAACATCATCATCATCCTCATCAACAACATCTTTGTTTTTTCCTCTTTTTTCTCGCTCTCTCTCTCATCTAAGGTCAAGTCTAACCAAAGTAAGCAACGAGCAAGAAAAAAATAACATTGATTTGTGCCAAAAAAACAAAATCTAACCAAAAGTACTTTTTTTGTCTCCTTTTTTTACCCTCAAATGACCAACTTTTGTATTAATTTTATAGTTAATCAACAATTGTTAACCAATGTCCACTTAATGAGGATGATTAACTCAATCATTAACTAATTCAAGTTTTTCTTTTTTTCTCTTCTATTTTCTTCTCTTTTCTCTTGTTTATCCAATTGTTAATTGCTGCATTTGTTTTAATTGTGCGACTCTCATCAACTCATCAATTTGTTAATCATCAACAAAACCCAAATGATGAAAAAAACGTTGAAAAATGTGATTCCAATATGAAACGTTCCAATGGGATTTAATTGTGATTGTTACCTCATAATTAATAATTTTTATTAATTTTTCATCTCTTCTCTTGTTTCAATGTTTCACCAAAATGATCAACACTCTTCATTAACTGTTAATCACTTTCCATTGGGAAATCAATTGTTAACTTGATCAACCTTCTCATGGGATTTTGATTATTAATTTTGTTTATTCTCACTTGTTTTAATATTATTTTGTCCAATTGTAATTACAACTTAAGACAAAACTGATCTTAAGTTTTTCCTAAAAGTTCCTATTATGCACAGTTACAGGGTGTTTACCTTATCGGATAAGTATAAAAAGATACGCGATAGTCATGGTGAGAGAGGTGAAGACGAGACTGACTTTAAATTGCCGCCTCTGGAAGAGATTAAATCTTGTTTCGATGACAATTTGGATAATTTGAGTGAAGATGAAAATGTTGATGAAGAACTGACCAACAACAATAAAGGTGAACAAGATGAAGATGTTACAGAGGAAGATGAAGCCGATGAAGACTCGGAAAATGATAGTTTACTAAATGATGAGCAAACTGATGAATTTGATGAGAATGAAGTTTACGATGAGAATGATGAAAATTCAACAACCGGTGACAACATGAACTCTGTCAACAATCTAAACTCAATGAAGTCAACTCGATGCCAAGTAAAGAGTAAAACGAGGATTGAACGTTCACGACGAAAATGTTCAAAGATTAAAGGTAAAAATAGTAAATTATCTTTATGTTCACCTTCATCATCAACAGCCAACAGTAAGGTGACACCAACAGTGCCCGTTAAACCAATACTCATGTGCTTTATCTGTAAACTATCATTTGTTTATGTTAAATCATTTACTGCTCATGCATCAAGTGAGCACAATATAATACCAAATGATGAAGAGAAAGCTCTTCTTTCCGCTAAAAATAGTTCCGCAATAATTCAAGGAGTTGGTCAAGATAAGGAGCCAGTTTTATCCTTTTTAGAGCCACGAATGGAAGTTCCTCAAACACTGTTACCCACCTCATTGGCTAACCTGGTTTCACCGGTTAACCTTGATTTAAATGCTGTTACTGGATCAACGGCAACACCATCAAGCTCACCATCAACCTCAACACACTCTCACCACCAACAGCAACAACAGTCAACCTCATCAATGTCAACATCAAGTTCCTCTGTAAACGGTGCCTCGCCTCTTAATGGACCTCATCATCCTAATCTTTCAAGCCAATCAACTACTAATAATGTTCCAGAGAAACTATCATCTTCTTCATCGCCATCATCATCACCCTCATCTTCACTCCATTCCAATGTAACCACCAACAACAACACCACCAATGAAACACTTGGTGATTCACACAAATCTCATCAGCAATCAAGCTCATCTTCATGTCAACAATCAAGTTCCTCAACCATCAATCCAACGTTGGACTCTTCATCAACACCGCCGTTCATGTCTCCCTCAACCAATAGCCTTCCCAGTCAATCATCAAATATCAACTCACCGATACCAAGTGAATCGTCAACGTTTGAAACGTTGAATTTAGTTTTACCAAAGAATAATAATAATAATAATAATAACAATAATAATAATAATTCAAATAATCTTCATTCTAATAATAATTCAACTAATGCTAGTAAAAGTAAAAGCAACAATAATTCCAATGGTAATAATAATAAGAAGAAGAAGAATAATAAAGATGATGGAGATTCTAGTGAGATTAATAAAGTTAATAATAATAATCGAATGGGAATTAGTGGTAGTGATTTAAATGCAATGGATTTAAATATTAATTCATTATTAACTCCAGAGCTTGCTGATCTGTGTAATCTTGAAAAGATTGCCAAAGCAGCGGCTGCTGCATCACAACGATCAAATGAACAACACGTTCAATCACATCAACTACAAGGTAACTCAACGGGCTCACCTAGTTCAACCTATGGATCCTCTTTAACCATTGTTAATCCCGCTGTATGTTCACCACCATCAACCTCAGTCTCACCCAAATCATCGTCACTCTCACTGACCACCAAGCAAACCTCACCAACCTCGGCAGCCTCATCACCACCCATTGGATTAACTGCAGCTTCAGTTCCTCTCTCACCTTCAACCCTAACCTCAATGAACTCAAATGTTGCCGCTGCCGTGGCCTCTGCACTGGCTGCAGCAGCAGCCGCAGTTAACCAGCAACAACAGCAACAACAACAAGGGCAAGCATCAACCTCAACCCCATCAAACTTGTCAAGCAACTCGGCCAGTTCTGGCTGTCACCATCCAGAGGGTGTTGAATGTCCTAAATGTGACATTGTTCTTGGTTCTTCTCGATCTCTTGGTGGCCACATGACCATGATGCATTCCCGTAACTCGTGTAAAACCCTGAAATGCCCTAAATGTAATTGGCATTACAAGTATCAGGAAACTTTGGCTATCCACATGAAAGAGAAGCATCCAGAGAATGAAATGTCTTGTGTTTACTGTTTAACTGGTCAAAAGCATCCACGACTTTCCCGTGGTGAAACCTATACCTGTGGCTATAAACCATATCGATGTGAGATTTGTAATTATTCAACAACAACCAAGGGTAACCTATCCATCCATACACAATCGGATAAACATGCAAACAATGTTCGTGAATTGGAACGCAATGGTTCACAAGAAGGTTTAATACAACAATCACAACAAGCCATTGCAGCAGCAGTGTTACAAGCTGCTGCTTCAACTCGCTCAATGTTATCACTTGTACATGGGATGCAACCACCAAACACAGCAACAGGTAAACCAGACAATTTAACTCGACAACAGCAAATGCGTCTTCAACAAGGTAAACAAGGAAAATCAGCCAATTCCAACAATGAACTTCTTAAAATGGACGATGAACAAATCAAGTTCCCAAATGGTAAGTCAAACTCAAATCAAAACTTAAACATTCCCTTTCCCTGCAAACCATGTTCATCACCTCATCATCATCATCATCATGAGTTAACATTATTTACAGAATGCAAAAGATGTAAAAACGGTAACTCAAAGTATCCAAATGAAGCAAACTATTTATCAAACAAAATTGATTGAAATGCTTTTCAAATTTAATTAATGTTTACATTGAATAGCCAAGAAGGGAAAAAACGAAACAAGTGTAAAAATCATTTCTTTACTTTTCATCTTTTCTTGATAAATGAAGTTTCAATCAATTGATGATGATAATGATGATGATCATAATCAACATAATTATATTATAAAGAAAAATGAGGAAAAGTTGTTTTGTCTTCTCTCCATCTTCTTACCGAATAGCAAGAAGAAAAAAATGGTAAAAATGATTAAATGTAATTATATTTGTTGTTGGATGAAAACATTTTAATTTTGATCAATTGAACTGTTTAATTTGTTCCTTTTCTTCAATAACCTGAGATTGATTGATTTTCAAATTTCATTGCAAATTTAATTGTAAAAAAGGCCAAATAATCAAAAGTAGAAACTAGTTTTTCGCAAATTGGAAGGCGAAAAAATGAAAAGAGAGAGAGAGAGAAAAAAGTTAAATGAATCTGATTGATTCTGAACACTATATTGTCCATTGATTATCGGTCAACTGGACAAGAGACAAAAAAGGTTTCAAGTTGGATAAAAGGTTGATGATGACAGAAAAAGATGGTCAAAGAAGAAGAAAACTGATGATTGAATGTTAATGTTGGCGAATGGTGAAAATGATGATCAGCATGAAACCTGACAAAAGAAATGAGAAATTTTTATCTGCTTCGATTGATACAGCGCAAGAGAATGCTAATTATCATCTTTTTCCTTCCATCATTTTCATTCTGAAACTGATGAGAAACTAATTTATAATTTTTCTTCTTCTTGATGAGCTTTCTTCTGAACTTTCACGCCCAACAACAGGCCAAAACCTTATTGATCAAGAAAATGAAATTGATTTGCAATTCTTGAATATAAAATGAAATAACTTGAAATGTTGTTTTAAAATCATTTTATAATTATTTTTGCACTTGGATTCACCTTTTTTTGTGTGTGCTTCATCCTCTTTTCAAATTAACATTATTGGCAGACGAGTTGAATGATAACAAACAATATCCTCATCATTATCATCTTATTTCCTTTCCAATCATCTTTTGTTAATTTTTCTTCTTCTCTTCTTCTCTTTCTCTTTATCCTCATCATTTGCTCAATCAATTATTATCATCATTATTACTTTTCGAGCTTACCTTATGTTACCTTTTGCGCTTTACAGTAAAAATGTTATTCTTTTTATGCTGATTTTTGGCTCCTTTTGGGATAACAATAACAAACGTAAAACATGTCAACTAATTCAACATCTTTTCATCCTGTCTCACTCTTAACGCTCCTAATTCGTTAACATTCTCACCCTTAACCTTACCTTGAGAGAGGAACAAAAAAAAGGTGTAAAAATAATAATCAAATGATGATAATAATGGAAACCATTAACAGATTAAAAATGGATTAGAAAGCTTTTAGAAGCGCAAAAGCGCATTTCCAAGGTTCCATTTAATCTAAATCTCAAACTGAATTTGAATCGAAATGTGAATAAAGTTTTGAAAGTTTCCAACTTTCCAATGAACACTTTAAACTGAAGAAAAGTTAAATTGAAAAGGTTAATTAATTAATCAGTCAAGTTATGATTGATATCAAATTAAAAATTTTGTTTCTAATCAACAGTCAACAGCAATTGGCAAATCCAGTTCTGTTAGCTTAAAGTTGAAGAGACACAAAAAAAGCATTTTATTTCCTTGAGCTTAAATGTTGAGCTTTAATTGGTAATTATTTGGTTTAACCAAACCTTTTAGTTAACAAACGTTTGAAGTTACACACTTGAAGACATTTTACCTTTCTTCTTCTTCTTCTTCTTACCTTAATTTTCAGCTTTTCATCTTCTCGTCCTCCTCATCTTGTTCGCCATCTTGTTCGTCTTGTTATTTCAAAAGATTTACCTTTTTTGTTGTGTCGTCTCTTTGTGTGCCCAAAATCCTTAACCTTGTTGGTTTCTCACAATTACCTTTGTCAAATACTTTTTGTTGCCCTGTTAACCTTACCAGTCTTTTGTCAATCGTTTACATCGTTTCCAGTCTCACCTTTCCTCTGAACCAATCTCATGATCACTTTGTCCTCCAACTAGCTTGGCCCGTAAGGCCTGGTCGATATGCAAATTAAGAAAACTCGTAATCCTTAAAAGAAAAAAATCTTTCAACTTTTCTCATCTTTTCTTATTTACTCAGCAAACTTTGTAATTTTGGAAGCAACTTTTTTCTTCTTTTCAACTTTTTCTCTTTTTGATTAATTGTTGCGATCAACAATTAAATATTGACTCTGTTGACATTAATTTTAGATTTAATCACTTTCAGAGAAATGATTAATTTGATTGCATTTTTTACCTTTTTGTCTTTTCCTTCAACTCGTTTTGTAATAACCTTTAATGTTTAATTACAATTTGATTTACCTTTTAACTATTGGAACCATTTCTCGATCCAAGGTTAAATCATTAAAAATATGCACGCTTTTAATAATTGCCAATCAATTGATTTGCATGTTAATCATTTTTCATGTTGATTACAATTTGCTTCAACTTTTCGGATAAAATTCATTTCCATTTCAATCTCTCCTTCAAGGAACAATTGAGATTATAAATTGACGTTTTTCAATCACATTTGTTCAACTCGAGGTCAATTGTAAAATAGGAAATCATTTAATATTGATCAATGTCTTACAATCAAAATTAGCGCAACAACAACTTTTTCAATTAAAAGGCGCAATAATTCATCTGATTAAAGCCTTCAACAATTGAACAGACGAAATGAATAAAAGAACAAGAAAAAAATGATAAAAAAATTGTAAACATTTGTAATGCTAAATGATACTTAAGAGACAACAAATGTTTCAACTTTTCTGGAAAAATGAAATTTCCATGAATTGCTAATGAAAGGTAAATCATAAAGACTTTTGTTGAAACTTTGAAACTCAGATTATCAGATAAGGAAAGAAAAAAGTGAAATTTTTGATGTTGAAGGAAAGTTGTTCATCTTTCATCTTGTCGTTCAAGATGATAAGAGTGTAAAGATGAGCAAATTGTTGTCGGTAAAAATGTTTACATCAAGGACTGACAATGACAATCAAAGAGATTAATTTAAATTCATTAGTTTCCTTATTAACAGTGATTAATTGAAAATGATTGTTGGTAAAGAATGTCTTTCATGATGAAAAGGGAAGAGCACCATTTTTAGCTTTTAAATTGTTGAAATTGAAAGAAAGCGCAAAACTGTAATCAATAAAAGTTAATTAATTTTAATTGATATAATTAGGAAATTAATCATTTCTAATCAATTTTAATTAATGACAATTGATTCTCAGCCTTTTGCTCACCATTTAATAAACAAAACAATCAGTTAACATTATCTGATGAGATAATAATGAATGGAAGCAACAATGAACAAACTTGAAACTCAAATGAAAAAGTTTAACAAAAGATGGCAAAACTAATGGAAGAATAAGATTTTTTGGTTAATCAACTTTTTCCAGTTGCAACAAGTTTTACATTTCATCGGCAACCATCATCATGAAAATGATAAACTTAAATTGATTTTCAACCTTCTATTGGTCAACATGAACCAACGTTAATTAAGTTGATTGTGATTAAGGGCTTCACGCCATCGGTTATTGGTATTTTTGTATCAATTGAATGAAACAGGATATTGCATTTGAAGGAAAAGATGAAGTTACTCTTTTTTTTTGGGAAAACAAAAGCTCTTTAATGATGTTGATGAATCCCTTTCAATGTTGATCATTATTAGTCTAATTTTGTTGTTAACCTGAAAGACTTTCTTCTTTTGGTCATGTTTAATGATTAATTTAATAGCAATATAAATAATGGTTGATTGTCCATCTAATTTTATAAGACAACTTTGCTTCTTCTTCTGGTCACTTGTTAATACTTTTTACTGTAAATCACTTTTCTTGCCATTTGTACTTTCCTCGTCCTTTAATCAACATAATCAACATTTGAAAGTAAATTATCATTTTCATTATTTTCTCGATTAACATTTTGTCCAAGTGATAAACTTGTAAACCAATTGCTCAAGGGATTCAATGTTGATTAAGGTTCCGGAAGTTGATCACAATTTAATTCACAGTTGATTTGTCCAATAATCAAATGTTGGACAATCTTAAATTGATTGGTCATGAAATTGTTTCTTAATTAACGACAATTTGGGCAAAAAAGTGCAACTTTTTTTGCTTCTTCTTCTTCTTCTCGCTCAAAGTCACTTTGATCAACTTAATTAAACTTTAATTTCTTCTGTTTACTTCTCTTGATTACTGTCATTTAACCACTGATTTGCTTCAATTGAGATGAACATTACAATTATAATTGAGTTAACACATTGATGTGCTAATGCGTGCGTGACGCTTTTATTAACACGTACAACTTGTAATGTTCAGGATCCGCCGCCATTAAACAATTTTTCACCTTTTCTCACATTTCCATCAACAAATATCATTCATTTATCATAATTCAATGAGAAACCTTGAATCAAACTCGGTAATCAACTGTTAATCAACTTTAAATTCAACCTTTTCATTAACCATTGAAATATTATCTAATAGCAAATGCATTTAAATTCAACTTTTTTTTTCTGTTCAACGAAAAATGTTTCTCTCGTAATTAAACCAATTAATTGAATGCACCAGCAAACCTTAATATTGAATTATTATTATATTTATTATCACCAACAATAGCAATTAATGATTCAATTAAATTACTTTGACTTTACTAATTTACTCAACTTTACTATTAACTCTCAATGTCATTTGTGATTAACTTTTTTTTCACTTCACTTTCATTAATGTTTAAATTGTAGTATTTGTTGTTGTTATTAACTACACTTAATGTAACATTTTTTTTTAATTTACTGCCCTTATCAACAATTTCCTGTCAATCTTAATTGTTACAAACAAACGTTAAATAGCAACAAAAAAAATGTCTAATGCAATCAACTTTGGCCAATTAAAAATTATCAATAGTAATTAAAATAGATAGTTTAATGTTAATATAATGGTAAAATCAAGATGATAATATTGCTAATTGGTGAGAAATGTTGAGTTATTGGTTGGTTAAAAAGAAGGGAAAAAAATGTCAAAAAAATTGTTGATTAACTTTGATTATGATGTTGATGAAAAGTGATCATTATTCATTATGAGAGTCGACATTTGAACAAATTTGGTTTTCCCATTTCAAATTGATTGCTTATTGTAATTACTTTTGATCAATCTTTTTTAATTTTAAATTTCTTCTTCTTCTTATTCTTGTCTTTTCCTTGTCTAGATGAGCTAACAAGTAGTATGCTTGAAGATTTGAATGAATCCTTTTTAGCGTCACTTTCTGGATCCAATCCGGATCCATCATCGGCTGCAGCAGCGGCCGCATTGTTTTCTGGACTTGGTTTAAGCGGTTTAAGCGGTTTATCGGCCAATCATGTTTTCCTTTTAGAGCAGCAACAAGCTTTACTACAACAACAACAACAGCAACTTGCAAATTCAGTGGGATCCTCTTCAACCTCTGCCAACTCTAATTCAACCTCTACCAGTCATCAATGTCCACAGTGTAATTTTTCAACCAACTCGGAAGGTAAACTTTCCCTTCACCTGATTAATGCCCATGCCAATCAGTTAAACAATAAATCAGGTTTAATGGTGGGACCAGTAACCACAAGTTTAAACTCGTCTGCCCATCTGTCAACTCTATCATCACCTAGTTCACCTAAAAAGGCTAAACTTTCACCAAATCAGTTATCTAGTGGTGTTGCTGGTGGATCTACAACCACCTCACCTTCATCTCTATCCTCTTCATCTCATTCTGGTTCCTCTTCAACAGCTTTAACAATTGTTGTTTTGTGTCCTCTATGTCAGTCTCCTTGTGAAACCAGAAAGGGTCTCGAGACTCATCTCATTGAGACTCATAATGTTGCCAATAAAGAAGTTGTTGATCGTCTGATGTCTTCTGCAACAACAACAACAACAACCATTTCAGAGACTGTTTCCAATAATAATGATAAATCGTCAGTTAAAGATGGTAATAATGTTCCTAATAATGTATCAACCAATGGAGGTGATGATGATGGTTCATCGTCTCTAGGTTGTCCAGACAATGGTGATGGTCGTTCTGATTGTTCAATGGATGACTCAATTGATGGATCTCGTGATGATTGTGTTAATTTATCTTCTTCAGTCTCCTTAAACAATAGTTCGATAAATATGTCTTCTTCCTCTTCTTCCGGTTCCAAAACGGTTCGCTCTAAATCTGTTGATTCTCAAGCATCAGTAAGTGATCGTCATGTTTACAAGTATAGGTGTAACCAGTGTTCCCTTGCATTTAAAACAATTGAAAAATTGCAGCTTCACTCGCAATATCATTTAATCCGAGCAGCGACCCAATGTTGTTTATGTAGACGAAGTTTCCGTTCCGTTGAATCATTGCGTAAACATGTCGAAACCACTCATCCAAACATGTCCGAGGAAGAGTTGGATGTATATAGACAGAGTTTAGCCAATAATCCAATGTTACTATCTGTTGGACGCAATGGTGGCGGTATCCTGGATCCAGCGACAACCGAGCTTCTCAAAAAGGAATCAGCTCGTGGTGTTTTGGAGGACGATGGTGAAGGTGACGGTGATATGATGGACACTAGTGAATCAGGTACAGGGTTAGATGGTGATGAAGCCATGGACTTGGTAATGTCAGCTACAGCTCATGGTAACAATAGCAGCAATAACAATGTAAACAATGATTTACTGGATGAAGAAATGGTTGCTAATGAAATGGACTTCAAGTTGACCTCATCAACTGAAAGGGTAACCCTTGAAGATCAATTAAACAGTCAAACAGCAGCTGAAGATGGTTACAATGATCCCAATCGAAAGTACAAATGTCATCGATGTAAAGTTGCATTTACTCGTCAATCCTATTTAACAGCTCACAACAAGACTCTGCTTCATCGTAAAGGTGAAAAATTGAGTTACCCGTCAATGGAGAAATATCTTGATCCAAATCGTCCACACAAATGTGATCTATGTAAGGAATCATTTACACAGAAGACAATCCTTCAGGTTCACAATAATTCAGTTTCTCACATTCATCGAGCAGCTAAAGCTAAAGAAGCTGCAGCAGCTGCAGCAGCAGCGGCAGCAGCAGCATCAAATACAACTCTATCTGGTAAAGAGAGTCTTAACTGTGCCAATGATTTAACCCTTTCTCCATTAATTACTTCTTCTTCACCTCCAATTATCTCATCATCAACCACCTTAACCTCTGCCTCTTCTCTGGCAAACTCAATTGTTACAACTAATGCTGGTCATCGTCGTCATCTCTCATCTTCCTCACCTTCACCTTTATCCTCTTCAATCTCATTAACCACCGCAACAACAACAACAACACCTTCTGCTCAAAACTGTTCAACCACTGTTCTACCTGTTATTTCCGGTTCATCTTTATCAAGTGATCTGACAACTTCGTCTTCTACCAATGAAAAGAAACCCTACCGATGCAATATTTGTAAAGTGGCCTACAATAATGGACCCGCTCTTGATATTCATATACGATCTGTTTTACATCAAACCAGAGCAACAAAGATTAAAGAGTTAACACTATCCGGTCAAATTGACCCAACCATACCATTAATTGAACGACCCGATCTAAACTCATCTTCAATAACGACAAGTTCAGGTGATGTTAGCGTTACCTCTGTTTCCTTATCCAAAAATAGTGACTTTTTGTCATCAAATAACTCTGGTAAATTGGGTGATTTAACTGAACAACAAGCAGCTTCTTTGCAGCAAGCTGTTGCCCTCAACTTGGCCACTGGTGGTCAACTTTTACTAACCAATCCTGCAGCCATGGCAGCAGCAGCAGCAGCCGCTGCCGCCGCTGCTTCGTCAAACTCATCGTCTGCAAATAACTCTTCTGGTACCAATGCCGGTTTATATTCGTGTAATCGGTGTGGAACCATTGTTCCTAACCAAGAAACATTCATTCAACATCAACAAATTTGCTCACTTTTTGGTCCTCGAGGATTGAAATCAATGACAGGTAAAGAAGGACAATCTTTCCAGCAACAAGTTGTTGCCGCTGCATCAGCTTTGGCTGCAGTTCAACAGCAACAACAGCAACAACATCAAGCACAACAAACAGCTCAAGAACAGTTGAATGCTGCTATCCGTGCTAGTCAAACTAAATACTACAATGCACCAGTTTGCAAATCAAAGCCTCCAGGTTATAAACATTTACTTGAAACGTGGGGATTTGAGATTGTAATGCAATTCAATGAAAACCATCAGAGACGCCGTAAAGTTCCTAAAGAAGAAAAAATTGACTCTGATGATGTGATAATGAAAGATTCTGGTGACAAAAGTGGTAACAGTGACCACGGTGTAATTAATAGTGTATCATCAGCGGATAAAAGTGATTTACCAGGGTCAACCAATTTACCCGAAATCAATAGATCTAAATGTGATTTTTGTAATAAAGAGTTCTCCTCAATTTGGGTTCTCAAAGCTCACCGAGAAGAAGTTCATTCGGCTATAGTTCCTATTACCCTGGTTGAAACTTTTGCTGATGAATATAGGAAAGATTATGATCGTCGTCATCATCATCTTGCTCACCATCACAATATCCTTTCCTCACCTTCAGTTTCATCATCTTCCACCTCACATTCAGTGCCACTCTCTTCACTAACCTCTGGATCAACATCATCTTCAACAGTTCATGTGAGCTCTTCAACACCAACAACCACCGTAACACCAATAACAAGTTCCAATGTTGACTCTTTTGTAAATGATGTTCTCAACGCTAATGGATTAACAAGTACCACTTCATCAGGTGGCGGTGCTGATTCAACCAGTGTCACAATCACACCAGCTTCTTTTGTACAAAACCATTTGTCTCAGGCAACTTCATCTTCTGGTCATGTTCATTATGCAGAAGGAACAAGAAATGAAATGGGAGGAGGAGGAGAAAGAGGACGAGGTAAGAATCAATCCACCTCATCGTCTGCAACCAGTCATGGTGCTCCTTCAATGTCAATAACTGCAACAACAGCTACACCAAATTCATCCTCTTCAACGACAAATTCAACATCAACCTCATCAACATCAAATCGACAAGGATTATCTGGTAACTCGGGTAATGCCAATGCCAATGGATCTCAAGCTGAAATGTCAGCACAAATGGCTGCTGCTCAAATACAGTTTAGTCAATTGTTAATGTCAATGGGACTTGCTGGCATGGGAATGCCCATGAATATTCCCGGTATGAATGTAAATTTTGCTGCTGCCGCAGCTATGGGTTTACATCCACCCATGATACCAATCATGATGCCTCATCTTGACCCAGTCATTGCTGCTGCCGCCTTTAACCATCAAGCTGCTCAAGCTTCAGGTAATCCAGCTGCTGCTGCTGCCGCTGCCGCTGCGGCCGCTGCTGCTGGTTCAAGTAACAATGGTGGTTCCTCATCACAGTCCGCCGCTCTTCAAGGAGCCGAAGCCAACTTTTTCGCCGCTGCTCAACAAAAACTATTAGCTCAACAACAGCAACAGTTGACTGCTGCTGCTGCTGCCGCAGCCGCTGCAGCTCAACAACAACAAGCTCAGGCTCAAGCACAACAACCTAAACGTGCTCGCACACGAATTACCGATGATCAATTGAAAGTGTTGAGACAATATTTCGACATTAACAATTCACCAACTGAAGAGCAACTTCAAGAAATGTCTGAAAAATCTGGTCTACCATTAAAGGTGATTAAACATTGGTTCCGTAATACACTTTTCAAAGAGCGTCAAAGAAACAAAGATTCACCTTATAATTTCAATAATCCACCTTCAACCATTTTAAACCTTGAAGAGTACGAAAAAACTGGTGAGGCCAAAGTTATTTCTATCGGTGAATCTCAAACAACAATTAAACAAGAAAAATTAGACGAAGAAAAACCCAACAAAGAGGTTAAAGTTAATTTAAATAATAGTAGTGGTCCTCTAGTTGGTAATAATAGTGCTCATTGTCTGATTAAAGAAGATCCAGGTAACCATGAATCAAGTTTGATTGAATCTACCAACCTATCAACATCAACAATGCTAGCAACTTTGAATCTATCTATTAATGAAGTTAAAATGATGTCTACAGCAAACACTAAATCTGAATATGATTTCACCTCATCTGATGATGATGGTGGACGTAAAGATGATTCAGTTAGATTAGAGATGAGACGTAACCGTGAATCAACATCTACACCCGATACATCAGTTACATTTAGTTTAACCAATCATTTGGGAGCAAGTTCAACACCAACAACAACCGGATCAACAGTGAATCAATCTACCGTTTCCCATCAGCAACACCTTTCATCATTGGCAGCAAATTTAACTTCAAAGGGAGTAACAGGTGCACGTTGTGAACCCTTTGACTATGCCAAATCATATACAATGTCACCTCGCTCTGAATCTTCAATGAGCTCAATCTCAACCAATGACACTTGTTCACAGCAAAGTGGTCAACCACCTCAGTCTCTCTTTGCTGGCCTCTCTAGTCTCACTGGAACCTCTGGTTTACCTGGTCATCTAACCTCTAATCCACTTCAAATGGCTTTAGATGCTGCTGCCTCTCATCGAGCCGCAGCTGGATTAACAAGTGGCTTTGGTATTGCCTCGCCACCCACTGGTTCCTCGGGTTCAACTGGTGGTGATAGAGGAAACTCTTCATCTTCAGGACCCTCTTCCGGTACCACTCCTGGTAAACGTGCCAATAGAACTCGTTTCACCGATTATCAGATTAAAGTATTGCAAGAATTTTTTGAATCAAATGCATACCCTAAAGATGATGATCTTGAATACCTTTCCAAGCTTCTTAACCTTTCACCTCGTGTTATTGTTGTTTGGTTTCAAAATGCACGTCAAAAGGCTCGTAAAGTGTATGAAAATCAGCCCACCTCAATGACCGATGATGACTCTTCTCAGGGTAAACTGTCCAAGACTGCTGGACTAACCTATCAGTGTAAAAAATGTTGCCAAGTTTTCCAACGTTATTATGATTTGATTAAACATTCAAAGTCAGCTTGTTTTAAAGATGAAAATCCATTGGCCGCCCAAATAAGTCAAATTAAAGCAGCTCAAGAAGCAAGGCAAGCTGCAGCCGCGTCACCGGGAGCAGCGAGCATGTCATCGGCAGCTTCAACACCAGCACCATCATCAGTCAAAGAGTTGGTCGATTCATTAACTCCCTCGCTAGAAGTCAAACAATCAAACTCAGGATCTACAACAACAACGGGTACGAGTAACAATAATAATAACACTAACAACACCAATAATTTCAACAACCTTGCATCAACATCTTCCTCTTCTTTAACTGTCGATCCCAAGTCAACAGGTAACAATGGATCAACCTCATCTTTATCCTCATCTTCCTCCTCTTCTGGTCAACAACAACAACAACCTTCAACCCTGGCTCCAGCCAATTTAACCAACAACACGACTTCATCACACCACCATCAACGAGACTCGACCGCTTCACCAACACCCTCCGAGACAAACAATCCTTCTAGACCCTCATCATCACCTTCAGCCAACTCATCCAATGGTGCGTTTCGCTGTGAAAAATGTGGACTTGTTTTCCCTCGTTTCGACCTTTGCCAAGAACATCAATTGGTCCACTTGATGCACCCATCTTTGTTTCCACCTTATCCATCCACCTCACCCTTTGGGATACTTCAGTATGAAGCCTGTCCACCGGGTAGCATGACTGCTGCAGCCGCTGCGGCCGCCGCTGCCGCTGCTGCTGCATCAGGTAATGCTGCAGCTGCAGCAGCAGTTCAAAGTTTACAACAACAACAGCAACAATTTGTCAATTCACTTACTGGACTCAATTCATCGTCAACCTCTTCTTCGTCCATCAACAATCTTTCTTTGAAACGTAAACTTCCAGAAGATGAAGATTCAATGGACTCTACATCCAATGCAGGAGGCGGTGGAAGTGTGTCTGGTGCGTCAACAAGTGCAACAAATTCAGGAATGTTAGGTGATCAACCGCGTGACAAGCGACTTCGAACAACAATTTTACCCGAACAATTGGACTATTTGTATCAAAAGTATACAATTGAATCCAATCCAAGTCGAAAAATGTTGGAAAGCATTGCCAAAGAAGTCGGTCTTAAAAAGCGAGTAGTTCAAGTATGGTTTCAAAATACTCGAGCTCGTGAGCGAAAAGGTCAATTTCGTGCCCATCAACAAGCAATCCATAAACGGTGTCCCTTTTGTCGAGCCTTGTTCAAAGCTCGATCAGCCCTTGAATCTCATTTAGCCACTCGCCATGCTGACCAATATACCAAAGGTGATATCAACATAGACGCATTGCCTGATGGCGATCCTTCCGAGGATACATCAGACGAAGTGAAAGCCGCATTAACACCAGAAATGTTGCAACAACAAATCTATTCATTCCAAAAGTACATGGATCAAGTAACCTCTGGTCAATTTAAAGACGCATCCAGTGGTTCCAATAGTGGAGCTGCTCCCACCAGTCCAGCTGACCTTTCCTTAAACATAAAGGCAGCCCTTGGATTGGGTGGTGATTTACCTTTAGACTTATCCAAACCCATTGAATCAGGTGATGGAACAGGGTATGATGATGACATGGTTGGAGGTTATGGTGATCCATTTGGTGATCGATCTGAACTGGGTGAATCAGACTCCGAGTCGGAAGAAGAAGATGATTATGATCTAGTTTTACCGACAAACTTATTCAACAGTGCAACCGGATTAAAGTCATCTGGTGGTCAAGTCAATACCTCATCATCGTCAACCTCAGCCGCTGCCGCAGCAGCAGCCATTGCAGCAGTAGCAGCAGCCGCAGCCTCAGCCTCAACAACCGAAGAAAGCAAATTACCGTTAAACAATTGTTCAACCTCTGCTTCAGCAAGTGGACAACTGACAACCCCGCCAACAACCAAATCGGGATCCAATTCAAAAAGATTTCGGACTCAAATGACTACTGTACAGTTAAAGGTAACATCTCATTGCAAGTGATCATCGCAAACGAAAACAAATGCGAAAGTAAAAGACGCAAGAACAAAAAATATCTATACATAAACAGTAAATAATATAAAAGTAAACAAGAAGACTAGAACTTCGAAACAACTCAGATAAATGCAAATTTGCATGATAAAAACAAAAGCATCATCTGATGAAAGATTACTATGAAACAAAAACCCAATTTTGAGTAGCAAATAAGGCAATGAAAGGAACAAAATAAGGCAGAAAAAAAAATGTTCAAATGTTAAAAGAGAAACAATGAATGTGAAAATGCTATCATTCCTTGTTTATCACAATTTCCCTCAAACTTCTTCATCTTCTTCATCACCACCATCATCATCGTCACATTTTTTTCCTTGCATCGAACTCTTTTCTCTTTCTCTCTCTCTTTCTTTCAACATTTCTTTTTTTCTTTCTTCAAGAAAAAAGTAAAATATCACAAAAAACAATGACATAAACAACATTCAAACTCACACAACAATACCTTTAAAAAACCCATTTAAACACGTAAAATATACTTCATCATTCCCAACATCCATTGAAAAATACAAATGTTTCTCTTCCTCTTCTTCATACCTCTTCTCTCTCTCTCTTGTAATATTATTTAAGCGATTCAAATTAAACGATTTTCCTTGACAATTTTTACGTTTGCAAGTTTTTTTAATTTTTAATTTAACAATTAAAATTGCACCAAAATGCAATTCAATCGTGAAAACCACAAAAAGAAACCAAATGTAAAACAAATCGCGAATCTTATTTACTTTTCATTTGATTATCATTTCACTTTATTATCATTTTCATTATTATCACTGAGAACAACAAAAGAACATGAAAAGCTGGAAAAAAATGAGCCAAACTTTTGTTCTGCAAAAGATATTGCAAAGTGCACCATTCATTGAATAATATTTGGTGTAATTGTGTTTTTTTTTGTTAATTGCAAGGTTGATGTTATTTCTTTCTCTACTTATAATTACTATTTCAATTGAATTGCAATTGAATGTCCCTTGCTTCGGATAGGGGCCAAGGTAGTTATTAGAGGTTATTTCATTTTTACCAAAACATAATTACTAACCTGCAAGTTGACAATGCTAATAACTATTGGCTTAGAAGATAATTGAAACTCTGAAACGAAGGCGAACGAGAAAATGAAGCATTTAGCTGAAAGAAAATATTGCCTTTAATTAACGTCAACGAAAATTAAACTTTCTTTTCCCAATAATTGTTATCAAATGTTTCATTTTAATCAATGGAAACCAAATATTGTTTTTTTATTTCAAGTTTGTATTATTTTTTTGTTCATTCATTTTAACCTTTTAATTTGTTCATTTCAATATTGTTTTTCATTTTTTTTCATATTATTTTGCTATTGATCAATGAATCTAATTATTGGTACGAATGAGGAAAGAAGAGAATGAGAAAAAAAAGGTTCAACCTCAATTAAATCTTGTGTCTTTTCATTGATCATCATTTTCATCATTTTCATTCTCATCATAATAATCATCAATTCTTGGATTTTTTGTGTTCGCTTTTATTTTTATATCAATGATTATTAACTTGAGGTACTAATCAATCAATGGCAGAGCAATTACCAATCATTATTACCCTCATCACGGTCTACCCATATTCAGTGTTTTTTTTGAGTCAAAAAAAAAGATGATGAAGTAGATGTTGATGATGAAGATAACTGCTAAATACTGGAAATCCTTGAATAGAGAGAAATGATGAGGTGTAGATAAGTTCAGTGAACGTAACAAGGAATGAGAATCGTAGGCAACGTAGGAGATGATTATGATGATTCAAGATGGAGATTTTTTTTCTTTCTCTTCTCTCTTTTTTTTGCCTGTTCGCATTGTTGGTGAAGAAGACTAATAAAAGCAATTAGAAGAAGAAGATGTATTATTACGAAGAAGAAAGGGAAGAAAGGGAAAAATATGAAAAAAGGTTAGAAAGGAAACATTTTCAGGATAAACAAGAAGATAAAAATGATTGGAAAACCGGAACAGAATTGAAACTCTTTTTTTTTGTTTCGCAAAATGGTCTTTACTTGTACCGTTAATGACATACAGATGAGCATTTGTTGACAAAAGTTGACGAAGCAATTGAAAGTTCATTTAGAAGGGGAAAAATGTCAACTCGACTTTTGTGCATGCAATTTCAATTCTCATTTGTTCATGTCCAAATTTCCGGTCATTCGATTGATTCTTTTCGAATCGAATTGTTTTATTCAATTTATTGATGAAAACTTTTTCTCTCTTTTCTTCTTCTTCTTCTTCTTCTGCTTCATCTTCTTTCACTTTTGTAATTGCTTGTACCTTTGCTGTTTGGTGAATAATCAGGTAATGAAATCAGTTTTCGATGAATACAAGACTCCATCAATGACTGAATGTGAGATGTTGGGACGCGAGATTGGCCTGCCCAAGCGAGTGGTTCAAGTTTGGTTTCAAAATGCTCGTGCCAAAGAAAAGAAGGCTCGACTTTCCATTTATGGATCCAGTTCCATTGGTTCAACTGGAGACCCGGAATCACCGAGTAAAGTTCCAGACGAATGTAAACTTTGTGGTGTCAAGTATAATCACAAGTTTTCCGCCACTTCCATGCAAGAACATCTCTTTTCACCTTTACACATTGAAACTCTTCGAGTTCACATAACAAGTGCTAAATCGTGCAACGAATCGGGAGAATCGGGAGAATCGTTTGCCGATGATTCCTGTTCAACCGACTATTCTGGTATAACATCTTCACTACCTTATACCATGAGCTCAACTTCAACACCAACAACACCAATGATGACCAACTTTATCAACTTTTCTGGACATCACATGATTGGTAAACCAGATTTTACCAAATTATAAGTTCGACCAAAAAATCGACTTTTCTTCTTCTTCTATTATTATTGCGACTGATTTAAATGCAACAAAAGATGAAACAAAAGATAACGTGAAATGACCTCAATTTTGTAACAAAAAACACAAATGTTTACCTTTCTTTTCTGTTAAAGGTAAATTGACACAAATGAACTTGATCTCGACATCCTCATCATGAAACATTCCAAAGCCATATTATCATCATTTCCATCATCCATTTGCTCCAACCTCATCTTCATCACTTTCTCTCATCCTCATCCACTGGAAGATAACAAAAGCAATCTGAGAAGACGTATAAATAGATGATGATTAACACTCTTCACTCAGCAAAAAGCCATTCTTTTCCTATTACAGTTTGACTCTTTGCTATTATATTATATATAAAAAAACAACAAAATACAATTTTTCCTTCTTCTCTTTGTAAACCTTGATTCTCTCTCTTCTCTCTCTCTCTCTCTCTCTCTCTCTCTCTCTTGACAAGCAAACAAAACCCAAAAACCTTTCATTTTTGGTCAACCATGATTCCTATTTATATGTTATTTAAAATATTGTATTATCAACTGAATGACAAATGACAACAAACAAAATGGCAACACTAAATAATGCTAAATTAAACCAAAATCACAACAAAAAATTGATTTAAGCAAATTTCCTTTTATTTCAATTTAACTTTAAAAACTCATCAAAATGAAAAGCAACCAGTTTAGTGACTCAAAAAAGCTTAGTTTCTCAACTTGCAGCCAATATTCAAAATAAGCTTTCTTTGATTGACTCATAGATTCTGAGTAACATTCAACTTTCATTGTTGCTCATTTCACATATTAATGTAACAAGATAGCAGTGAAAATAGCTGGATGCAGGCTAAAAGTCGCTTTCGTTATAAAAACATTTCTCTTTAAGTTACAATCAATCGCGCAAAACTAATGTTGATTCAAAATCGCAACTAAACATTTTCATTGAAACTTTGACGATTTGATAAAATCTCATCTTCGAATTCACACTTTGGAATGATCAATGACCATTTAAGGAAGGTTTAAAGATAAGTAACTTGTAATCTGCATTTCGAGCAACAACTGTCGAATTAATCGAACATTAATCGCATTGACGATTCATTTGATTCGGCTGTTTAAAGTTCTTTTGAATTTGATTCTTAGTCTAGAAAAGAATCTTTTAGTTAGGAGTGATTTTGATTGATTCTGGCGACTGAACTGCAGAATTGATTCTGAATGTAGTTTTAACCTTTAATGGAACATTTAAATGACTCAACTTGCTATTATCATGGTATTCATATTAATATTTTAAAATGGGAAAAGTTCATTGAAGTTGTTCTCATCTTTGAAACAAAGCAACCAAAAGGCTGCTCATGATTATTACATTGAATCTTTTCAAGGATAATCTTTTCATACTTCAACTATCATATAAAATCTCCACCTCATCATCAACTCATCATCATCATGGTAATCATTTATTTACTCTGTTAATCGTGATTATCAATTAAAATGGTTGTTCATGGTAACAATCAATGATACTAAATAATAATCAGTTACCAAGAATGTAAAGGTAAAATTAAGCGATGATGTAAAAAATAAACTTTACATCCTAAATCATATTTAATAATAAACATGATCAGAATGGCGATAATCTGATGAAAAATGAAAGCCAAAAACTATCACTTTACAATCTATAAACTCGCCAAACTATTTCAAAGTAAATTAAAAGAAAAAAGCTTTTCTCCAAAAAATCAAATTCAATCATTCAAAAGGAATCCAGCATTTGAATATCGAAGCGAGAAAAGAGCGAAAAAACAAATCGAATTTACCCATTAATGGGTTGAAATGAAAACAATTGCAAATGAACAACTGGCCAACATAGTCGAAGGTGAAATGGTTCAAACTCATTAATCTTCATCGACATTGAATTGAACATTTTAAATGTTGGTATTAATGAGCTTTTGAAACCTTTTAATTGAAGGAGAAAGTAAACTGAAAATTTGTTATTTAATCAACCGTCAATTTGGTTGTCAATTTGTTAATAACTATTATGGTTTCCATCCAATGATTAAACTTATTTGTCTAATTTTTTGTGGTTCCAATTGAGCTTTAATTGGATCACAATTTTTCCTCTTTTCATTAATCTCTTTCCCTTTAGTTCAAGTGTTAATTGGATTGAATCGTTTTTAATTGTTGTATCAATGAAATGTACATTGGAAATGAGAGCAAAGCAAAAATGTTGTTTTTCTCATTCTTTCCTTGCAATTTGAATGACTTTTTGCAAATGATGAAAGTGTGATTTGATGAGAAACGATTAATCTGTTGAAATGAGATTAAATGAGAATCTCTATGATTATCATGAAAAGCTAAAGGAATCAATGTCTTGTCAGTGAATCAAGAGATGCAATTTAATCTATCCTTTAATACAATTTAGGGTTCCAATGGAAACATTTTCGACTTTTCCTTTTTTGACATTCAGCCAGTGATAATAAGAAGGGACAATGGTAAAGGGAATGTCCAAAAATTGGTCAATCAAGATGCTTTCATCAACATCGTTAAACATTTTGTCTTTTGTTGGTCAACATTTTATTTCTCTTCCTTTGACTTGTTTTAATTTGATCGGTAAGAAACCTCAGCAACCGCAAAAGACAAAAACAATGAAAGGCAATAATAATTGAGACAAAAATTGGGAATCACTTTAATCAAATAATGAAAAGAGAGTGACAATAATTTCTATTAAAATGGTTCTCATTTTCATATCATGGTTCCCATGCTTGTTGGGACTGTCACTTCAAGTAAACCATCAAACTTGATGCACAAACTGACCACCAATTTTGGCCTCTTCTTATCACTCCAATAACCACTAATTTCCCTGCAAATTCAATCCATTTAATCAAATTCCCTTTTAATCTTTACATGATCATTGAATGCAAGACAAAACTAAAAGCCATTTTCATCTTTCATTGATTTTATTGCTCCTTTTAATCTCTCTCATCAATCCATTTCGATGCACTTTTTGGTTATCAATTTTTACCATTTTTTGTCTTTTCATTTCACAAGTTCATTTTTGCAGATCAACTTTGCTTCTCCATCCACCTTCAAGGTAAAGGGTAAAAAATGTCTAGAAAATTCAACTTCCACCGAACCATTGAAACGCCTTTTTCCGTTCATCATTACAAAGTCAAGTCAGTTTTCACATTTTAATTTTTCGACTATCGTTTCAATGAATAATTATTGAGGGAAAATGGTTAATATTGTTGACCAAACGGACATTTACATTTATTGTTTATCCTTAGCTGATGTTAATCATGACCATTATCATGACTGAAAATAAATAGGTTGTGGTTTGTGAATTGAAAAACTGATGGTTAGCGAGTAAAGAATGAAAAGTTAAAGCTTAAAATTCATATAATTAAAGTGAAGTAAAGAGTATGTTATTAAGTGTAATATAAAATGCAATTAACAGTTAGCATTATGGTCAAGAAGAAGAAGAAGAAGAAGAGGAAGATTATGATGATGATTATGAGTCTATTTTTGAAAGGGAATTAAAGTTTTGAAAAGAAAAGCAGAAAAGACAAAAAATTGTTAACTTTGTTCGCGTTTCATTAAAGCAACTTTTCTCAACTTTCTTCATCACCAACATCAACAGGATAAACAGGTAAAACATTGGTACAACCAATTGAACCGTAAAACCAGAAGAAAGGTAAAGACTGATAATTAGAGTAATAATGAAAAAAATAACAAAGTTTTTCTTTGCAACATTTTTCTTCTTCTTCTCTCAAAGAAAAGCAAGAAAAATTCATATGAAAAGTTTGAATCCGGGAGTTTCGCATTATTGCATGAAGAAGAAGAAAAAGGAACCAGAAAATGGTTAAGAAGTGTTTACCAATAAAAGAGGATAAAATTAACAAATTAAAGAGAAAAATTCGCAACTCAATATTTGATAATAGCAACTGATGATGATTTGACTATCATTAAGGCGAAGTTGATTGAGAGAAAAACTTTTTACATTAAAAGTCATTAGAAACTTTTTTTTCTTCTCTTCTCTTCTTTACTGTTTTCGTTGCAATATTAATGATAAACTTTGTCTAACGAAAGGCACTGTTCACTTGACTCCTCCACTTGCTCTGGTAGCTATTAAAAGCTGTTGGCCTAAAGGCATATTGAACGATAGCTAAGGTGAGACAAAAAAAGGTAAAGATGAGAAGGCAAAAGAAGTGATAAGAAGACATTAAATGCGCCTTGACGAATAATTGTTATTGAAGAAAATTAAGAATAAGGTCAATACCTTGGTGTAGTTATCCAGCGAAATGATCAATTTTGGCGAAGAAAAAGAATACTCTTAGACATTTTTTTCTCTCTTCTTCTGATGATAGTCATTAAGATTATCATTATTATTATCATTTTCATTAACTCCCCCAACTATTTTCATTATTTTCCCTTGTAACTTGCATTAACAAATGATGCCAATCATTTGCCATTAACATCCTCATCATGCTCATCACCATTATCATTATCAAGTTGAGAGAGAAAAGGATAACTTTTTTTCTTCTTCTCTTCTTCTGTTCAGAATAATCAGCCAAGAATATCGGTGAAACCAGATTTTACTTTATCCAACTTTTATCAAATTATTTTCATTTTTCACTTTCATTGAGAAATCGATTAATGAATAAGCCTTGTTTGAATCTCAGTTTTTGGCTCATCTTCATCAAATGTCTATTTATAATGATGATCAATATCAAGTTAAAGGTAAAAAAGTTATGAAAAGATTTCGTTCAACTTTCCATTCGTCAATCTATCGATTTCTTTGTCTTTTTCATCACCTCAAACATCTCTGCAAACACAATGTTTCTGATTGATGAAACTCTATTTATTGTCTTTTTTTTCGGGTTTACCAGAAAAAAAGTTCTGTTCACATTAATCTCAAAATTTTGAAACTTTGTTATCAATCAACATTTTTTTTCATCAAAACTCAAAACTTTCACCAACTTTTGGTCCATCGCCAGTCATCCTCATCATTACAACTTTTCACTTTTTAATTATCGATTCTTTCTGTGAAATTAATCTTCATAACACTTCGAAATCTTGATCCATTTATTTTCATCTTCATGATAATCTTTTTCATTTCCCAAGGATAAAGTTTCGAAAAGGAAAAGAACCTGAAAAGTAAAAAGTTGATAAACATTGTTAAGCTTTTGGACTTTGAGTTTTGAAAAGTTTAGTTGATTAAATTGAAACGATTGGTCAGTGATGATGAATCATGAATTTCACTGTAAATAAAAGAAATGATTATCCATGTTTAATTGAAGGTCTAGAATGAGATGGCAACAGCGAAAAAAAGACAAGAGAAACTAATGATAATTTAGCTTCTTCTTTACCTGTTTCTCTTTCATATTGCAGGTAGAAGGGGAGTGATTATTTTCTTTCTCTTTTACCTTTTCTTCTTCTTCTTCTTCTTTTTTTTCATTGGAAAATCAAAATATCTCTTTGAGGGTGGTAATTAAGGTTAATGTCTACCTGAGAGACGCAAGTTTTGCAAGGGAAAAGGGAAGAAAGAGAAAGAAAAGAAGAAGAAAAAAAGTGAGATGAAAAAGGTTTCAAGATGATGATAGCTATTCACTTGAAAATTACAAGTTTAAATGTTGTGGTGTG